TCTGGCTGTGGTAGGTTGATACTCTTGCTGAGAGAAAAGGGAGTTCCGCAGTGGTTTAAGTCAGTCAATCCAAAAATTTCAAATGCAATTAAGTTAGGTGACAGAACAAGTGTTCACACACCTATTTCTGCCAGCAATTTGATTTCCAACCACAACAACATTCTTAGCCACTCTTCCCCTCCCCAAGCACTGTGCAAAACCAGCACACAGGACAGCAGTGGATTGAGATAGCATGGAGAGAGAAGCTGCAGAAGTTCCCACAGGTCCAGCTCCAACCTATTGCACTTAGGCTGCGACTGTGGGGCAGGAAAAGAAGCAGAGGGCTACAGTGAGAACCTAAGGCAAAAAATACTTGCTCTCCTTAGTACTTGTAATTCATGAGTGCTAAATTCATTCAAATAATTGGCAAGGAAGTCATCCCGGGGGGGAGGGGGCATGAAATGTGTTTACCAAATGCTCTTTGTTTGCATTAAATATAGCATATTGTGAAAAAACAAGGTACATGGAGACCATCAATTCCCAAAAGTTGTCTTAAAATTATAAAAGTTGACCCCAACCAGCAGCTCCTGAAATGCATTTTGTTCTGAAGGCTTTTTGACCTGCCTAAAGCAAATTAGGAAGTACCAAGCTGTTTCCCTCCCCCACAAAACTATCTTTTCAAGGCCAAGTTGAGGAGGGGACACAGACTCAAAAAACCCCAAAACCAGTTACCAGATGCTACATGGTAGCTAACTCCCACCTAGTCAGAGAGGTTGTGGTCTTTCCCACCAGCTCCCTACCAGTGACATTCACCTCTGGAGCAAGGCTTACCAAGTTTAAAGAGAGGCAGCTGCAAAATGGATTACAAGTGAGAGGCTGGGCACACTGTACCGATGTCTTTACCAAACTCGCTGTTGACACGGATGCTCTTGGGAGCACAGGAGACAAAGTAAAACTGATGTGAAAAGCAATATTGTTATGGGCCCAAAGAGACAGGAGTGCCATAAAGAGGGGCTACCCAGAAATTCAGGGGAAGATGAGGAGTGGAAAAAGGATAGTTAGGCCAGATTAAAAAAAACCCACCCCAATTATAATCAAAGAAAACTAGCCAAGGCCTTACTTATTAATGCCATGATCTGTGCTGTGGAAAAGGGAAACATTTCCCCAAGGCTGTGAAGCTCATATTCCCTCAAAATCCAAACAATTTTTAGCAAACATCCCAGCAGGAAAAAAAAAGAAAATACTGTTGTCTATCTCACAGTTAAAAATAATCAAAGACATTTCTTCATATTTGGTAAATATAAAGCACAGACAACTCTGCAGCTCAGACCTGTCATGTCAAGCATCACCAGCAGCAGATATTTATGGCACTTGTAAGTGCCCCTTACTTTAAAGGGATTTCTATTTGTTGCACTAATAAACAATTATAATGATGCTACCAGGCACTCTTATAACTAGGAGACATTATAGGTCAGGATCCTTTCTGCTCTACAAGTGCAATTCATTATGATTACAAACAACAGCTGGATGTTAACAGCAAGGCAGGATGCAAGGGAGTTATTTACATGCTCAAGCATGAGGATGTCACTACAAGACCTGATGGTCAAGCAATCAAATCCTTAAAAGGACCTGTGCTCCACAGTTTGGGATGGGGCTGCAACAAGTTCTCTGTGCACCCGGATAATCTAAGCAAAGGAAACAACCAAAACAAGTGGGAACTACTCAACTATCCATTATGTTGGGCTTAAGAGCTATGATAGTTTAGAAATATAAATGAGATCTTTCCTATCACATGGAACTTGATGTTATTGCATGTCATAGGATAGCTTGGTATGCCAACTGCAATGTATACCGCCTTATCTCATGTAGACTTAGCTGCAAACAGGAATTTTTTTTTGCTTCTTCAGTATACTTTAAAGTCTCCCACTACACCTCCAAATAAGCTCAAGCCTGCGTAACTCAAAGTATAGCATAGAGCCAGCACAAGACTGCAGACACTAGGCAGTCGCCTCTGCAGCCAGCAAATGTCCAGTTCTCCTAGCTTCAAGAGATTTGCTCATTTAAGCATCCCCAGAGACAAGGCAGTCCTAATGTGGCTCTGGCACAGTCAGACAATCCTAAGGAGGATGATGGCAGGTCTCTGTCCCACACATGCTGCTTTTCCCTTTCACCATGCCGGCTTCTTGGGCTTCTAAGGCTTACTGCCACTGCTCTGATCTTGCCTATCCTATGGAGTTAACATAAAGGACTGCAATCAACTTCAGGCAGAAAAAAAACGTCTAAGAAATCCGTGAGTTTCTTTTTCTAATTGGCAGTATACATATTATATCAATAACTTCACCAGAAGATGATCTTTTCCATCTGATGGCTATTGCCTGCAGGACTGAATCCCCACAGACTTTGCCTGGCAGAATGAAAAGGAAAAATCATGCCCCAGTAAAGTCATTGCAGTAACACACAGTGCGTACATGCATAAGGAGAAAGGTTTGTTGTCTTCTTCCAGATTGCCTTTTACTGATGTGAGATTACATCTTTCTACAAAGAAGCAAAGCAAAGTAGACTTAAAGTCATTTTGGTTCACCCAGGCTGACTTTAGAGACAGGGCCCGTCATTCAGCAAGGGAGCTCACTACAGGGATTAAAGCCTGGAGTTTCCACAGAGCCAATACTTCAAACCCATTGTTAGAGAGCTAATTAAGACTGAATGCATCTAACTCCAGATTGGTAAGGCATCAATAAAGGGAGGCAACCCCAAAGCCATGTGGGGAATACTCTGTGGTGTATACACCTTGGGTTTTCTAGGGATTCTCCCAATAGAAACTGAGCCAGAATTCTTCCCAGGTAGATATCAGAATGGATCCAATTCTAAAAAAAAAGAAAAGGGCGCCCACTGCATTTACAGATTTACCAGCTGCTTCTGACTGGCTTCCTTCCTTCCTTCTCCCCACCTGGAATACCCTGACCCTTCTCAACACTAATGAATTATCTAGTTCCTTCCTGATGAGCTGTCCCAAGATCCAGATTCTATACACTGAGTCAATCCTCCTTGCCACCATAAAGCCCCTTGTGTTGTGCCAGATGTCACAGAATACAGCTGGGACTAAATACACCCTCAGTCAGCATGGGACCTATGGCTCCCAAGATCGGGCACTAATATTACCCATACGGATTGTAATGCAGACTTCATTGAGGCCAAAAGCAGCTTTGTCACCACATTGTCACAGATTCGGTAGGAGCAGACATAGATTCTAAACCCACTCAGGGTTCCAAGTAACTTTTCTTATGGCTTTTTACCAAAGTGGAACTCTTTGGTATAACTCTCAAAGCTCAAAGACACAGCTTGCAACTGAAGCCAAGGAGAATTTTCCCACTGGAACCCAAATACTTGACTTTACTTCAACCATAATCAGGTCCAGTTTACAGTAGACCTGATTAGTAGTGAGTGAATAGCACTTGAAACAATATACAAAACCTGCAGCTTGCTAAAAAAACCCCTCATTATTTCAGGTCCACAGTACTGCAGAAGAAGTTGTTTACATGATAACTTGCTATTGCCTGACAGACCAGTAACTCTGAGCAAATCACTCTCTTCTCTGCCTTGACTTCCCCAAATACAGCATGAGTGATAACAGCACAGCCAATAAAGTGCTTTCTGATCTACAGATGAAAAGTAGCATAGGAGCATAGTATGGTGATTGCTAGGGGTACTCAATGCCATTGTAAACAAGGGAATTGCAGAGAGAATCCATATTGCAATCACCAACATTCATTGTTACAGGAAATTCAGTATGGGAACTGAGCATAACAACAGTACCACTCACTTCTAGAAAGCTGGGCAGGAATGAATTTGGAACTAACACTAGTCCCCCACAGAGCTCTTTCTAGACATAAAGGTTACTTCAGGAACAAGTTCTTAGCAAAAGGAAAACAAAACAATGACCACATGGTGTGTTAGTGCCTCTTTTAGAAAGGCAGAATGCCTTTGGTCTTCAGCTTCTTTTCTGCTAAAAACAGAATCACTACTAATTATAGCATTTTTTTTACTTGAATATAGGAATATACATCCTGAGTGATGGTGCCTTTTGCCTCATGCAGGCTGTGCAGAAGGCCTGATGGACTGAAGAGTTCTCCCAAGGGGGAAACAGCACAATGAAGACTTCATACCTGGCTTGAGGGCAAGAATCACAAAGCAAAGGCTTCAGACTTTCATAATAGCATGTCACTCAGGATGTATTAGATAACGCAGCCATCACATATGCGGGAGACTAACGATTTATTCCTTGAGTTAAACACTTGGCTGCCAAGCCAGAGCTGTACACCAGGAGAAACAGAAATTTGTACCTTCTGAAAAACACCTGTGGGTGTACCAGTTTAGCATTTGCTTTACGAGTGCTTGCTGTAGCACGTCTATGCATGTGAGCTTAACCATACCTTCTGGCCATACCTGAATTGGGCTGACATAGTATTAAAGTATTTGATGACCTATTTTAACACACGTAACTCAAACACAAGTTTGGACAATTCCAAAGAAGCTGAGCAGAAATAAGTTTTATAAAACCTTGTTTTTATAAGTGAGTCTGTAAAAAAAAAAAAAAAAAAGCAACCACTACATAGAAGCAGCCTGGTCTTTAGTTAAGTCCCTGCCAAGTCCCATGGGTGACATTTCAGCACATAGCGCAAGCCTTGACACAAAACTCCAGGGGTGCTGGGGACACTGACCCTCAAATCCAACACTCACAGCCCACACATCTCACACTACAACATGAAGGCAACATGATTTTGCACGTTTGCATGTGCAACTAACCCAGGATAAAGCACAATACTCCCCTACTCCCCTAAATGCTCCATTTAGGAAACCTGCAAGTTTTGGGGAGCAAACATAAGGAACTGGTCCCACACATCATGTCTGGCATCAGGGGAAGTGGGGGAAATCATCCGGAGAGACGAGGGAAACAACATCCCTGCTGCTGCAAGGAGTCACTGAAGGGTGAATAAACGTTTTTAAAAGCGACTGTCACTTACTTATCCAGGACGAAGTAGAGATCAAAGGCACCGTGACAGGAGCGCTGCTCTTCTTGCTCTTCCTCCTCCTCCGGCCGGGCGCAGGAGATTAGGCTCCCCATCGCCAGCAAGAAGAAGCACAAAAATGCTGCTTTCTCCACGCTGCTCCAGCAACTCGCCATCTTTCCCCTTCCTTAATTCTTCCTCCTCCCCCAGTGCCTCTCTCTCTCTCTCTGTGCAAACCTTACGGGCACTTCGGAAGCACCGAATGCAGAGGGGGGAAAAATCAAAACAAAGAAACAAACAAAATCACTAACTTCAGGATCTCGGCTCAATCCTGAGGACTGAAGGCAGCCCTGCCCGCAGGGCACCCGGCCGCTAGCTCAGGGCAGGGGGCTGAGCCCAGTCCCCATACCCCGCCGCCCGCGGTGCCCCGAGCGGCTCAGCCCGTCCCGGAGAGACAGAGCAGGCTCCTCTCGCAAGGGCCAGAGGCAGGAAGGGGCAGAGGGAGGGGAGCGGGAGGAGGGAGACAGGATCTTATGGGGGCAAGCTGAGCGGGGACTTTCCTGTTCCGGGATACCGAGGTGGGAAAGGCTGCTGCGGGCGAG